AAAATAGAATTTCTCGTAACATAAATTTTCTTAAGAAAGTTGTGTAACTAATCGAGGAAATTAAAGTAAAATCATTTACATCAAAGTAATTTCCTCTAGAATGTTCAATATCAACTAAATAAGGAAGTTCCAGTAAGTAGTAGTATACTACGAAATTAAACTTATTAGTAAGTAACTAATTTTAGTAAAGTAAATGATAAACTGGACTCTTGTTATAAATCCAACTAAATGTAGAGAGAATTCATGTTACTGCCTGTCGTTCCTCACTCTGACTAGGAAGACTCTGGCAATATGTTTTAAATAAATCATGATAATGATCAAATCTACAAGTTAGTAATTTTAGTAACTACATATGGTTAATACAAAGGTTGCATAAAATAGAAAGATGTATAAAACTGTAGGTTATTTCCAACAACAACTGCAAGAAAAATGACAGGTTGGATAACAAGAACTTTTCACACTAGAGATGCTATACCGATGATGACACTTTTCAAAACGCTTGTGCTCTCTAGAGTGGAGTACTGCTGCACAATGACAGCACCTTTCAAAGCTGGAGAAATTGTTGACCTGGAGAGCGTGCAGATATCCTTTACTGCTAGAATCCACTCAGTAAAACACCTAAACTATTGGGACCGACTAAAGAGCCTAAATCTGTACTCCCTTGAGCGCAGGTGGGAGAGATACATAATAATTTACACGTGGAAAATATTAGAGGGGCTGGTCCCAAACCTGCACACAGAAATAACATCACATGAGACCAGAAGACATGACAGGATGTGCAGAATACCCCCGTTGAAAAGCAGAGGTGCAACAGGTACTCTGAGAGAGAACTCTATCAACATCAGAGGCCCGAGACTGTTCAACACACTTCCACTACACATAAGGGGCATAACTGGCAATCCCCTCACAGTGTTCAAGAGAGAACTGGATAAGCACCTCCAAAGGATACCTGATCAACCAGGCTGTGACTCATACGTCAGGCTGCGAGCAGCTGCGTCCAACAGCCTGGTTGATCAGTCCAGCAACCAGGAGGCCTGGTCGACGACCGGGCCGCGGGGACGCTAAGCCCCGGAAGCACCTCAAGGTAACCTCAAGGTAAGGTAACCCCCCAATATGCTGTATTTCACATTTCTCAAATAAATCCTAAATGAATTTGAAAGGACGAATTTGCTTTATCGAAATGATAAAGCAGATCAAAGTAACCTTCACACTGTTTTAGAAAACTTCACTCTTGGTATGCTCAGAAGAATCGTGCATCCTTATCATGCGATTTTGTTGTTAATTTGGACTACAATTCCATATATCTGCCCTGGAAAAAGTTGACTTTGGTTACAAATTTTCAACACTTCTGGCAATTAACAGACAAAGCAATTTTATAACCCAGAAAAGTTTCAAAATATTCAAGAAAGATGCCATAATTTTGTAGTGAAAGCTTGCAAATAGCTTCTTTCTCGTATTCCAAGCAATGCTGAAACTTTAAAAAAAGTGAAAAATCTGACACCTATAATATTCCTTAGCCACACACGGCCACCATTTTCAGAACTTAGTAGTAGCTGACCAGTCTAAGCTTAGTGAAATTGAAAGTCAGTGGCGCCTACTGTTAACCATTGACTGGTCCAACATTTGTGAGGGACAAATTCCAACATCTGGATCGTCATTTTGGACCAAGGCAATAACTGTCAAGAACGCTGCTGGCGATCCCATACTTATTTTTTTTAGGGATATTCCTGCGCGGGCCCTAAGCCTCTGGCTGGCCCACTAAGTGTTGCTTGTTTCTGTTGTACTTGGGCGGAGTATGAGTATTTATGACTCGTATGGTCGCTTCAGTAAGATTTCTCCATATGTGTTTAACAACTTCTGCTCTGTTGAATCTAAGTTGAAATCTTAATGGGTTTGTAACTGTGCACTGTGTTAGATAATGTTCCAGTGGTCTGTCGGGCATTTCTCCACAGTGCTGATATCTCCTCTCATCTTCCGGAACCTGTAAGACTATTTCCCATGCACATGGGTGTCCAAGCCTGATGCGATGTAAGTGTACTTCTATTGCTCTACAGAGCAACTTTCATCAAACTGTCTCGTAGTTGGTTGAATTCTTGTACCAACCCGCAGATCCTGATGTTGCAACTGCTGTGTTGTGGTCACTGTACATCTTTTGCATTGTTCTGTTTCTAATTACTTTCTTAATCTATGATAGACTCTGTGGTATGTAAATGTCTACATTTCTTCACTTAGTTGCAAGTTTTGCAGCTTCGTCTGCAATGTCATTTCCTATTATTCCCACATGACTTGGCACCCAGTTGATAAGTACCCGTCGGCCTTGTCGTTTGAGTGTTTGCATTAATGATATGACATTTGTGATCAGATGTATGTTATCACATATGTGTTCTTGTTGCAAGATTTCAATGGCGGTTCTCGAATCTGTATGTATGATAACATGTTGTCGGTGTTCAGCAAGAGCATGTTCCAAAGCCTTTTGAATGGCTAGCATCTCTGTTTGTAAAGTTGAACACCCATTTGAGAGTCTCCAACTATTTATAGAGTTTCCTGCTTTAATCGCAGCTCCGGTTTCTTGTCCCTGCTGGTCTACTGATCCATCTGTGAAGTAAGTGAAGCTGTCGGATGCAAGGTTTGCTTTTATATGCATCTGTGCAACGTTACATAGCAGATGAGGATTTGTCTGGTTCTTTTTTCCTTCAATAACCATAATCTTAAAGTCTGCTGATGGAGATTTCCAAGGGGCTTGCATAACAAAGTCTGCATGTATTTCGTCGACACCCTTCTCAGTGACTGTGTTTGTTATATCGAATGTATTGATGGTGTTTATCGCACAATAGGTCCACCTGTTACTATTAGAGGCTCTTCTGTCCAGAGTTAGTGCTCCAGTGATTATATTTTTAAGTGAACTGATTCTAGGTCTAGTCAATATCTTGGTCAGCATGCACGCAGCAATCCCTTTTACCCTTACTTCAATCGACGTTAGCTTGGTTTCTAGTCTTAGGTTCAGTATTTTAGTCCATCTAAGAGCTCCTGTTATGATTCGCAATGCATCGTTCTGAATAACCTCAACGTTTGCCCACTGACCAGGAGAAAGAGTAAGGGAGGCGCTGCATAATCAACTAGGGAACGAACGGCATGTATGTAAATCATTCTTAACACTTTGTGTCCCGCTCCTAGACGGGGCCCTGTGATTGCTCTCATTATATTTAGTCGTGATTTTGCTTTCTCCTTTAGATATTGAATTTGCTTATTGAATGTCATTTTAAAATCTATCCAGACTCCGAGATATTAATATTGTGTAACCCACTGAAGATTAATGTCTTGAATGCGTAGGTGCCTGTCTGGAGTGTTGCCGCCTAGTCTCATTGCCTTAGACTTCTGTGCAGATATTTTTTGAGAGAGATTTTTGAGATATATACTAGAGTTGTTACATTCTTGTACAGCCACTAGTACGCATAGCGTTTCGGGCAGGTCCCTGGAATACGATCCCCGCCGCGAAGATTTGGATTTAAGGATTTAAGGAGTTTTTGGAGTTAAGGATTTGCGCCCAGTAAATCCTCCCCGGCCAGGATACGAACCCATGACAAAGCGCTCGCGGAACGCCAGGCGAGTTTCTTACCACTACGTCACGAAGACTGTTTTAGCCCTAAAACGCTGTATTCAGATGTTACTTTATCTAATGCACCTTGTGTTTTATTTAGAAGCGAAGGACCTGTAATGACTAATGTTATATCATTAGCATAGCTTAGCAATTTAACCCTTTCTGTAAATGTCATGGTAACAAGGTTTTCCATAAGGATGTTAAAAAGACTAGGACTTAACCTCCTCCTTGTGGAGTCCCATTCTCATGCAAGTGGTAGTCCGACACTTGTCCTTGCAACTTTACTCTGGCATACCTGTGACTTAGGTAATCTTGAATCCATACTAACATATTTCCCTTTACACCTTTTTTAACTAAGGTGTGTAAAATTGCTTGCGGGCTTGCAAGTTCGAATGCTTTTTCTAGATCAAGGAAGATCACTATAGCTGGACCTGAGTTAACTGTTCCTAGTAATGTTGCTATGCAGTTGGCAGCACCTACTCCTCTAGTGAAGCCAAATATGTGTTTATGCAGGTCTCCAGTCTTCCACAGTAGCCTATTTAAGAACATCCGTTCTGCAGTTTTACTAATGCATGATGTTAATGAAATGGGTCTGTAATTGCCAGGTTCTTTCGGCTTAGGAATCGGAATGATGTCTGCTTACTTCCAAGAGGTTGGTAGTTTGCCTTGCTGCCAAGATGCATTGATGACGTCTAATATTCCTTGTTCTCCAGCAGGACCTGCATGTGCGATCATTGAGTATGTAATGTTATCAGTACTTGGTGCAGTGTCCTTACCACCTTTTTTGGCCCTGATTAGTTCTTGTGTGGTGAAGGGACAGTCACATTCGTCATTTATAGCTATGCTCTCATGAATGACTGTCAACCTCTCTTGTTTTAATTGTTCTTGCTGCCTTCGGACCATTGCATGAAGCTGATATGAAGCTGTTCTTTCTGCAAATTGGAGAGTAAGTCTCTCAGCCTCCTTCAATGGTTGAATACATGCCTGAGGTCGGGCTGATCGACCTGATATAGTTTTAATCTCACCCCATATCTTGCCAAGACTACTATGTTCATTTAGAGTTTGACAACACTCAAACCATCTTGCCTCCTTTACCTCTCTAGAAACTCATACTGATTGACCTCGCTTAGTTTGCGTTGAAAATATATAGCTTACCAATCAGTAATGCCCTGGTTGAACGGGTATTTTCGCACAATTCGAATGGCTAGCATCGCCATATTGCCACCCGTTGTGGCAATATATACTGTATACATACAGACGTTATAGGTAACGTCTGTGAAAACTAAACTAAGAAATCGAATGGGACTTGAGCTTTTGACATCAATCTTGAGAATCAAAACATATCTTGAAGAAAACCGAACATGTTGTTCATCATTTGAACCGCCCATGTCAATGCTTAAATATGAGTCTGCAGTATACAAGAACGATCTTCTTGATAATCTTCAACTGTGAAGACGTGGAAGGACTCCACACCCATTATGCTTCATATAGTAAATACTGGTAAGTTATTCTATTATCATATTTTTTTCATATATATATATGCAGAGATAATATTAATGAAACAATTAAAATCGTGTAGTGTACTTTATACATCAAAATATATTACTTTGAAACCCGTATCAATCACTTCAAAAAAATTGGGCTATTCTTATTACAAATTCGCTACTTTTAGACCGTCAGCTCGCTACTTTCAGTAATTTGGATCTGGCAACCCTGGTTAGGTGCAGGGCGCGGAGACATGCAGCTCGCTCAGGGGAGGAGGTGAATATACGAGTATGGAGCATTAAAGATTTTTTTAGAGATGTGTGCGTTGCTCTCATCGCCATTACCCTTACCAGCACTACTACAGCCTTCGCTGTCACCACCACCCATGCCTTCACCACAACCACCACCCATGCCTTCACCACAACCACCACCCATGCCTTCACCACAACCACCACCCATGCCTTCACCACAACCACCACAGTCTTCATCGTAGTCACCATAACTCATCTTCCACCACCCTCACAGTTACGCCACCATCACCACCAATGGCATCCTAAACCTTCATTCGGTGTAGATTTGAAAAGGTTATTGGTAAGCATCTTGAAAATATGATGAAATATAACCTAGTTCATATGTGATAAAATAGCTAAATTTATTGTCAAAATAATAAGCAAAAACTATCACTGGGCAAAGCTGAAGTGTGATGCGTAAATTTGTCAACAGAGAAGATGTTTGTCAAATTTACTCTCCTTTCCAACATATCTGATGCAGTAAAGAGATGCTGACATATATCTCAATCTTTATACTGTAATATCGTGTTCTTCACAGTCGTTAAGTTTACAATATTATCTACCTAGACTGTCTTAAGGTTTGTGATATTGTCCCATGCGAGAGGATGATGAAAGATACATTTAACCTGGATCAGGATGTGGTTACCACACAGGAAACACAAGGTCAGCAGTGGAGTAAAGGCAGGGAAGGAAACTATCGCAGGTGGAGTGCCTCAGGGCTCTCTCCAGGGACCTTCACTCTTCATTATATATGTTCTCTCGACTCTCTCATCGCATTTTGACTTAAAAAGCCCCAGCGGACAAAATATGATGTACTTTAAATTATAGCGGCTCACAAACATTCACTTTTTCGGTGCGTGGGTCGCTGGGTTAGGTAGTTTTAGTACACCATCTTTTGTCCGTTGTGGCAACTCGAGAGAACGGGTTGTATACTTACATTATGTAGATACTGGATTGAACATAAACATTTGTAAATTTTTCGATCACCAAATTTGAGCTGGAAAAATTTAGATGACTGTAAAACGCTACAGGAAGACCTAGAATAGACTTTAAGAGCCAATGTATCAATGGCCTAAATAAAGCTTATATATTAATATGCAATACACTTATATATTAACATATAAAAATGTGAGGTGAAAGGCGAGACGGTAAGTGAACCAAACTCTTAGTCATTAGGCCTTCTGCAGTTTATTTATTCCCATTAACTCCTATGACATTCTTACCTTCTCGCCGATGAATGGGCATAACAAAGGGGGAATTTTAATAAGGAATTAAATATATCAACACATAACAGAACCCGAAACAGTGGATATAAATTGAATAAGTTTAGATTTAGAAAAGACCTGAGTAAATACTGGCCTGGTAAGAGGGTTATGGATTTGTGGAACCAATTACCGCGTAACATAATAGACGTAGGATCCCTTGAATGTTTCAAGCGTAGGTTAGACATATATATGCGTGAGTTTGGGTGGGTATAAATAGCCTCTGCCTCGTATGGACCAATAGGCCTTCTTCAGTTGCCTTCTTTATTATGTTCTTATGTATATTGACTTTCTCTGACACTTTAGACGACTTGATAATGGTCCATGACGGATCGAAACCTCTCTTATATTTCCTGGTGTGTGGGCTGGGCGTCTCCTGCATGCTCTTAAATGGCCTGGGTGTATTAGCCACTCTTGACGTCACTGCTGACGCAACCTTTTGTCATGAGACCATTGCAGCATGTTTCTTATCTCATCAGCGGACTCTGGGTCACCCAGCTGCTGATGATATCCACTGTCGTAAATCTTTGATGATTTCAAAATATTGGTGCAACACTCGATGATGAGAGAGAACGTTTATGTTATAAAGAAAAGCAAAGAAATTATGAACACAAGACATGAAGGTTATTGATTATCAATTTCTCTTGTGCCGAAACACTGAGATAATTGAGCCTTTATGAACACAAGACCTTTCTGACCTTCAGGATGTTTGTCATCTCGCCTTGACTCTCCTCCAGCAGCCATACCGGAAGGGATAAAGCACTTGGTCCAGCATGTTCACAGGGAGCATTCCCAGAGAAAGAAACATTCTTAGTCTGTCTCATATCCTTTAATCAGAAAAAAGTATACAGGATGAACAGTTGGCTCCCGTTTCTCTTGTAATAGCACTTTCTCTGTAACTAGCTGACATTGTAACTATAAGGTGTGAAGGATAGATGAAATTGTTTATGTAATAATCTAAGATGAGGTCTGATAAAGACCTTTTGTGCCCTCTGTAATGCTTTTGCGCTACCGCTCACAGGATGAATATGGGGTGCACAATAAACTAGCCGCCTTCGGCGGTAACAATCAAATCCCGTTTCATGATGTACCTTACATTATAGTAATTTAGTATTAAATTAATTTATTCGTAAAATAAACTAATAACAAACTTTTCAAATAAATGAGTTCCTAGGGTCAGGCATCAGATGAGCTGATATAGTATGTCAGGTGTTAGTTTATAGTTTAAACCATAGAGATCATCTATGACATCAGTGAACCATAGTTAAAGTTAAACAATGCTGTACGAACCACGTACGAGTCGGGAAGTAGAACGGTGGGATGAATTGCGAACTGAGCAGCAAAAGTCTGAATAATGAATATAGAACCTATTAACCTACTGAAGTACAGTCGGTAGACACACATGATGTATACATGGGAATGATCATAAGGAAAGTACCGCATCACAAGCAGAGAGCAGTTAGCTGCAAAGAGGGCTTCACATTTTCTTTATATCGTTTACGTACTACTTATTCCTCCCGGCTTTGTGCTTCATCCTTATCAGTACTTACTCATCTCGTATGAGTGTTGGTTACGCCTTACGGAGCTATTCATGCCCGTGCCACCTTTTGGGTGGCTTAATCTTTATCAGTCAATCGGTTACGCGTGGCAGTATGGTTCCTTCCGAGATGCTCCCATTAGATAACTGAAATATGCACAGATAGGAGGAAGTTGGAATATAACTTCTTATCATCAAAGTCTAGTTTCTTTATTCTGAGAGAGGATCAAAGTTCTGGTTACCTTTAAGGACATTTTCTATATATACCAGAGATGGTGACTCTTACTTCCAGAGGAATATCTAGTTGGAAATACTTTTACATCCGTGTCCATCGTGGATGTTACTTGAAAAACAAGGCCAGGATTCGTCTAGTAATTACGCAAACCACTTACGAAACCTTTACATCTTTCCTTAATCATAGCGGTTTTGTCTACTTGTTATTAAACAGTGTACTAGCATCAAACCTTCTCAACCCAAGGTTGTTAATGTTATAAATAATCTCGTACTGCTTCGGAGTGCTTAAACTGTTTAATATATGTAAACAAAGCTGCCATGGTTAAGGAATGATGCACAGGTTTCGTAAATGTATGCAAAAAATGCTTGATGAATCCTCACATAGATGTGAGATTTAGCAGCTGTTTGACCTTATTCATTATTGCCATTCAGTTGCATTAAGGAGTTTATAGATGGCAATATACTGATATAATCATAAGAAGGTGGTAATTACTCTGGACTCCGACCTTGACTATCAAAGCGGCGTGCAAGCTGCCTGTTATGACACTACTGATGTAGAGATTATGCGTCTGGCAACGTGTGACTGCTGGTACGCTCATCGTACGTCTGGCATCAAAAAATCCAGAAATCGTTAAGTATTAAAAACAAAATCGTGACGATAATTTGTCATGGAAGACTTAGCGTAGCGGAGGATGTCTGAAACTTCTCAGACATGAGTAACTCCAGCTTGGTGTAGACACACAAACATCGCTTTAATATTATTCAATTACCGCGTTAATAATAAAAGACAATAATAGTAATGATCAAGACTAAAACGGCGTCTGTTACATTATAACTGAAAACGATAAAAATAAAACAATAATTACAATTAAAACTAAAAATTATTATTATTATTATTTATAAATAAAGTGATGTTAAAACTAAAAAGGAAAATATTAAATGTTACTAATAATAAATAATAATAATAATAATAATAATAATAATAATAATAATAATAATAATAATAATACAACTAAATAATACAAAATAAAGAATTATAAATATATTAACAATAACCAAAAATTCTAGAATAATGAAACCAAAACAATCATCAAAATAATCTTTTCTACGTAACTCGCACCAGAAGTTACATAGAAGCACCAGAAGCCTCTCAAATTAAACATTAAACCATTATAACTTTGTCTGAAAATGGTTTATGAATATGAGAAACGTATCTGTCTAACCTGATAAGTTTCTTAACGAATGACATCAAGCTAGAGTAGCCTCGCCAGCAGTGTGGCGCCCTCAGAGGCAGCGTGGCGTCCTCAGAGGCAGCGTGGCGTCCTCAGAGGCAGCGTGGCGGACTCGGAGGCAGCGTGGCGCCCTCAGAGGCAGCGTGGCGCCTTCAGAGGCAGCGTGGTGCCCTCAGAGGCAGCGTGGCGCCCTCAGAGGCAGCGTGGCGTCCTCAGAGGCAGCGTGGTGCCCTCAGAGGCAGCGTGGCGTCCTCAGAGGCAGCGTGGCGGACTCGGAGGCAGCGTGGCGCCCTCAGAAGCAGCGTGGCGCCTTCAGAGGCAGCGTGGTGCCCTCAGAGGCAGCGTGGCGTCCTCAGAGGCAGCGTGCCGTCCTCAGAGGCAGCGTGGCGGACTCGGAGGCAGCGTGGCGCCCTCAGAGGCAGCGTGGCGCCTTCAGAGGCAGCGTGGTGCCCTCAGAGGCAGCGTGGCGTCCTCAGAGGCAGCGTGGCGGACTCGGAGGCAGCGTGGCGCCCTCAGAGGCAGCGTGGCGCCCTCAGAGGCAGCGTGGCGTCCTCAGAGGCAGCGTGGCGGACTCGGAGGCAGCGTGGTGCCCTCAGAGGCAGCGTGGCGCCCTCAGAGGCAGCGTGGCGGACTCGGAGGCAGCGTGGTGCCCTCAGAGGCAGCGTGGCGCCCTCAGAGGCAGTGTGGCGGACTCGGAGGCAGCGTGGTGCCCTCAGAGGCAGCGTGGCGCCCTCAGAGGCAGCGTGGTGCCCTCAGAGGCAGCGTGGCGGACTCGGAGGCAGCGTGGCGCCCTCAGAGGCAGCGTGGCGCCCTCAGAGGCAGCGTGGCGCCCTTAGAGGCAACGTGGCGTCCTCAGAGGCAGCGTGGCGCCCTCAGAGGCAGCGTGGTGCCCTCAGAGGCAGCGTGGGGCCCTCAGAGGCAGCGTGGCGGACTCGGAAACAGCGTGGCGCCCTCAGAGGCAGCGTGGCGCCCTCAGAGGCAGCGTGGCGCCCTCAGAGGCAGCGTGGCGCCCTCAGAGGCAGCGTGGCGCCCTCAGAGGCAGCGTGGTGCCCTCAGAGGCAACGTGGTGCCCTCAGAGGCAGCGTGGCGCCCTCAGAGGCAGCGTGGCGTCCTCAGAGGCAGCGTGGCGTCCTCAGAGGCAGCGTGGCGCCCTCAGAGGCAGCGTGGTGCCCTCAGAGGCAGCGTGGCGTCCTCAGAGGCAGCGTGGCGGACTCGGAGGCAGCGTGGTGCCCTCAGAGGCAGCGTGGCGCCCTCAGAGGCAGCGTGGCGGACTCGGAGGCAGCGTGGTGCCCTCAGAGGCAGCGTGGCGCCCTCAGAGGCAGCGTGGCGGCCTCGGAGGCAGCGTGGCGCCCTCAGAGGCAGCGTGGCGCCCTCAGAGGCAGCGTGGTGCCCTCAGAGGCAGCGTGGCGGACTCGGAGGCAGCGTGGCGCCCTCAGAGGCAGCGTGGCGCCCTCAGAGGCAGCGTGGCGCCCTTAGAGGCAACGTGGCGTCCTCAGAGGCAGCGTGGCGCCCTCAGAGGCAGCGTGGTGCCCTCAGAGGCAGCGTGGTGCCCTCAGAGGCAGCGTGGCGGACTCGGAAACAGCGTGGCGCCCTCAGAGGCAGCGTGGCGCCCTCAGAGGCAGCGTGGCGCCCTCAGAGGCAGCGTGGTGCCCTCAGAGGCAACGTGGTGCCCTCAGAGGCAGCGTGGTGCCCTCAGAGGCAACGTGGTGCCCTCAGAGGCAGCGTGGCGCCCTCAGAGGCAGCGTGGCGTCCTCAGAGGCAGCGTGGCGTCCTCAGAGGCAGCGTGGCGTTCTCAGAGGCAGCGTGGCGCCCTCAGAGGCAGCGTGGCGTCCTCAGAGGCAGCGTGGCGTCCTTAGAGGCAGCGTGGCGCCCTCAGAGGCAGCGTGGTGCCCTCAGAGGCAGCGTGGTGCCCTCAGAGACAGCGTGGTGCCCTCAGAGGCAGCGTGGCGGACTCGGAGGCAGCGTGGCGCCCTCAGAGGCAGCGTGGCGCCCTCAGAGGCAGCGTGGCGCCCTCAGAGGCAGCGTGGCGCCCTCAGACGCAGCGTGGTGTCCTCAGAGGCAACGTGGTGCCCTCAGAAGCAGCGTGGTGCCCTCAGAGGGAGCGTGGCGCTCTCAGAGCCAGCGTGGCGCCCTCAGAGGCAGCGTGGTGCCCTCAGAGGCAGCGTGGCGCCCTCAGTGGCAGCGTGGCCCCCTCAGAGGCAGCGTGGCGCCCTCAGAGGCAGCGTGGTGCCCTCAGAGGCAACGTGGTGCCCTCAGAGGCAGCGTGGCGCCCTCAGAGGCAGCGTGGCGCCCTCAGAGGCAGCGTGGCACCCTCAGAGGCAGCGTGGTGCCCTCAGAGGCAGCGTGGTGCTCTCAGAGGCAGCGTGGCGCCCTCAGAGGCAGCGTGGCGCCCTCAGTGGCAGCGTGGCGCCCTCAGAGGCAGCGTGGCGCCCTCAGAGGCAGCGTGGCGCCCTCAGAGGCAGCGTGGTGCCCTCAGAGGCAGCGTGGTGCCCTCAGAGGCAGCGTGGCGGACTCAGAGGCAGCGTGGCGCCCTCAGAGGCAGCGTGGCGCCCTCAGAGGCAGCGTGGGGCCCTCAGAGGCAAGCTGGGAGCAACTCAAATCATCCCACGTAATGTCAATCACTAAGGGCAGAAATAAACAATTTGGAAAAGAAAGAACTGAAAACTAAAAGGTATGATCAGATTTGTCAAAAGACAACCACACATGAAAGGTCACGACGTCCTCAAGCACGTGTCAAAGGTCAGGGGGGTTGTCCACAACCACACATCAACGGTCACATGGGAGCAGTTACAAGACTAATCTGTGGCCGGAGTGTCTGGTGGGTTGAGATCGGAGTTTCGTCGTCTGTGAAATACTTAAGGTCAACCGTAAAATATTGACGTGTACCAGGTAGTTCCACCCAACACACGTACGCGCGAACACACACACGCGCGCGCACACACACAGCGAAAAAGCAACCTAAGTTACTACACAGCCATATAAGAAGAAAAATGTCGGTGAACGACCAAGTGACAAGACTAAGGAAAACAGGAGGGGTTCATATACAGAAAGTGAGAAGGAAATCTGCGAGGCACTGAATGCCAGTTTCCATGGAGTGTTCACAACCGAGCCTGAGTAGCTCCCATTGTTAGAAGGGAGTACCCTAGATGAAAGACTATCAGATATAGAGGTGACAGCAGAGGAGGTAATGAAAAAGTTGACAACACTGGATGCAACTAAAGCAGTTGGACCAGACAAAGTATCATCGTGGATACTAAAAGAACCAGCGCAGGCCCTCAGCGTGCCTCTGGCAATGATCTTTAATGAGTCACTTATGTCGAGAGAATTGCCCAGTTGCTGGAAGAAGGCAACAGTCGTACGGATCTTCAAGAAAGGCGATAGGGAGGAGGCACTTAGCTATAGACCTGTATCACTGACAAGCATCCCCTGTAAAATATTCGAAAGAATAATTAGGCTACGACTGGTTGTACATCTGGAAAACGTTAGGTTTGTGAACAGACATCAACATGGGTTCTGGAAAGGGAAATCGTGCCTAACAAACCATTTGGAATTCTTTGATAAAATTACGAGGTTAAGACAGGACAGAGATGGTTGGGCAGACTGCATATTTCTGGACTGCCAAAAAGCCTTTGATACAGTACCATACGTGAGGCTGCTGTTCAAGCTCGAGAGGCAGGCGGGGGTGGGGGGAAAGGTCCGAGCATGGATAAGGAAGGAAGGAAGGAAGGCCCCTTCCTAACAGGAAGGAGCCAAAGAGTTACGGTAAGGGGCGAGAAGTCGGACTGGCGAACAGTAACGAGTGGAGTACCACAAGGATCGGTGCTGGGACCAATTCTATTTCTAGTACATGTTAACGACATGTTTACAGGAGTAGAGTCCTACATGTCGATGTTCGCAGATGACGCAAAGTTGATGAGGAGAGTTGTGACAGATGAGGATAGCAGGATCCTCCAAGAGGACTTGAACAGGTTGCAGAGATGGTCAGAGAAATGGCTATTGGAGTTCAACACGAGTAAATGTAAATTTATGGAAATGGGACCAGGAGATAGGAGACCAAAAGGACAGTACACAATGAAGGGGGAACTGCCTACCTGTAACGATTCGAGAAAGAGACCTGGGAGTGGATGTGACACCTAATCTAACTCCTGAGGCACATATAAATAGGATAACGACAGAAGCGTACTCTACACTGGCGAAAATTAGAACTTCATTCAGAAACCTAAGTGAGGAGGCTTTTAGGGCGCTGGGTATTGTTAACACGGTCAGCCGTAGAGCGCCGCGGTTCTTGCGGCGTCGCGCGTGCCACCGCCGACCCGTGAAACATGCAAGGGAGGTAACTGAGGCAGCGCGGGTCTCCATGCCCGCAACGCCTAGTTTCGGGCCAGTGCGTACCCATATCCGCAGTCGGTCTCCAAGGTAAGCAGCCTCTGGTCGATAGACTAATGTAGGTAAGGGAAGTCGGCAAATTAGATCCCTTCCTGAATCTCCAGTTTGTGCACTAGTCTCTTGTGTGGTACTGAGTCAAAGGCTTTCTAACAATCCAAAAATATGCAGTCTTCCCAGGCCACTCTTTCTTGCCACTGTGTGTGTGTGTGTGTGTGTCTGTGTGTACCCACCTATTTGTGCTTGCGGGGGTTGAGCTCTGGCTCTTTGGTCAGAGTAGTGTGTGTGTATGTGTGTACTCACCTATTTATACACACCTATTTTTGCTTGCAGGATCGAGCATTGACTCTTGGATCCCGCCTTTCCAGCCATCGGTTGTTTACAGCAATGACTCCTGTCCCATTTCCCTATCGTACCTAGTTTTAAAATTATGAATAGAGTTTGCTTCCACAACTTGCTCCCCAAGTGCATTCCATTTTCCACTACTCTCACGTTCAAAGAAAACTTCCTAACATCTCTGTGACTCATCTGAGTTTCCAGCTCCCACCCATGTCCCCTCGTTCTGTTACTATTACGTGTGACATTTCATCTATTTCCACTTTGTCAATTCCCCTGAGTATTTTATGTTCCTATCATATGTCCTCTCTCCATTCCTTTTTCTAGTGTCGTAAGGTTCAGTTCCTTCAGACGCTCTTGATATCCCATCCCTCGTAACTCTGGGACAAGCCTCGTCGCAAACTTCTGAACCTTTTCCAGTTTCTTTATGTGTTTCTTCAGGTGGGGACTCCATGATGACATGGCATACTCTAAGACTGGTCTCACGTAGGCAGTGTAAAGCGCCCTAAAAGCCTCCTCACTTAGGTTTCTGAATGAAGTTCTAATTTTCGCCAGTGTTGAGTACGCTGCTGTCGTTATCCTATTTATATGTGCCTCAGGAGTTAGATTAGGTGTTACGTCCACTCCCAGGTCTCTTTCTCGAATCGTTACAGGTGTGTGTGTGTGTGTGTGTGTGTGTGTGTGTGTGTGTGTGTGTGTGTGTGTGTGTGTGTGTGTGTGTGTGTGTGTGTGTGTGTGTGTGTGTGTGTGTGTGTGTGATATGTACTTTAGTAGATATGATAGAGGAGTAATAAGTCGGAGTCAGTACATTAGACAACCGACGGTTATAAAGGCGTGGTCCAAGAGTTAACAGCTCGATCCTACATTCACAAATAGTAAACACACACGCACACGCACACACACACTTAATCTGGGGTGAGAGAGTAACAGTTTGACAGGAAGTAGCGAGTAGTAGTGGCATTAGTGTTGTAAGTATGTCAATATATCATCGGTATGTCATTCATATTTCAGTATACTATATACTCAAGTATAATTCATGTCATTTATCATGCATCAGGCTCTACGCGAGGCCACAGTATTGACGGAGAACACGCAAGACCAGGATGAGTTAAACACAGTGATATATTATCTATATGTTAAGTATATATTCAATATTTACATTTACACAAACACAACCCAGTGTCCTAAGCTCCTAATCCTAGCCCGGCTTCCGCTGGTCTGCACAATCCTAATCTCCATCTTTGTCTCCAGAGGTCAGGTTATGGTGAGGTTATCTTGAGATGATAGCGGGGCTTACCTGCGGCCACATCCTCGATCAGGGCTCCTTTTTTTGTTACCCCCCCTCCCCCCCCCCCCTCCGGAACCAGCCCGTAGCAGCTGTCTAATTCCCAGGTACCTATTTACTACTCGGTGAACATGGGGGCATTAGGGTGAAAGGAACTGCCTATTTGTTTCGTCCTCCACCGGGGATCGAACCCGGAACCTCCGGACTACGAATCCGGAGCGCTGTCCACTCAGCTGTCAGGGCCCCACTTAACTTGACTCTCTCAAATTACTGGTCAATGTTTATCACTTCATAAGAGCAAACACATATTACTCACGATATCAGCTCGTCGCCTCCACCTCGCAGCATCCACATAGGCCAGCCTGCTATAGTGGGAGGATGAGGTCCACCAGCACAGGGAGATGTCACCCTCAGCACGGTCACCCACAGCCAGGCTCTCGTAGACTGCTCAATGTGGCCCTCAGATCACAACTGATTCTCCCACCATCCTTCAGCCAATACGATATCTTCTGTCCCATATCTCTGACGTGCTCTCTGGCCCTCCTCATCAACTGCTCAACTCCTTATTGTACCTTACCTTTCACGATCACTTCCGGGTATAGTTTCCGGGCGCGCCAGGCCATAGAAGTTATCACCAGCAGGGCGCCTCCTTGCTCCTTAGTTTCTAAACTGCATTGTCCCTCTTACGGTCGTGCATTTTTTTCTTTTGATGAATGTCCTGACTTCCAGGACGTGCTTGTGTCCTACTTTCCGACTGTCCCTCGCGGTCACTTGTCCCGTAATAGAATCCTTGGTGAATCAGGTACCTTTGATATCGTTCGCCTTATGCGCTTTTGTTCTCGTATTGGCATCCTTATTAATATTTAGCGCCTTTTGAATATCCGCACATTTGATGGTGCTACATAGCCTTCCCGGCCTGGTGCCTTCTTTTGATAATTTATTACTTCTCATAATTGGCGGAAGCTCATACAGAATTCAGCATACACGGGCTTGCCAATATGTCTGCCCTGTCTTACCATACACGCGTCCATACTCAGCCCACTCATATTCACCCATAACTGCTCCTGCCGCCTCTTACTTTGAGAGAGCCTAACTAAATTATTCATATGTATTTGGGCCACAACAAGAGATACCAGAACATCTCTGATGATTAACATCTTTATTGACAAAATTAATATACAATTTAGAGGAGGATTGATAAGAAAGAAAAGAATCTGTTGGTATTTCAGAAAGGCGTGGTCCACAAGGTAAAGCTCGCCTAGCAAGCACATACTGGTGATTACATACTGACAAATTAACCCTTAGGATTAATGGTCTTAAGGCCTCAGCCGCTGGACTGTTATCCAAGCAAGCCCACAGGTCCAGTGTAGCCTGCAAGACTCTTTAGAAAGTCTGAAGATGTAAGCATGGTCTCACAAAAGGCTACTGGCCAAAATAATAAATGCAAGTGAGACTGGCACTAGGTGAAAGAAGACTGGAAGACAAGTACACAGTCTAAGGCAGGAATCTAGATGTCAGTGAAATTGACAACATAGATTGAATCACATCAGCAGCATATGTTTAGCTGGCGAACATCAGGATAATGTTAGGCATTATAGGGTCCATATCTAGGATATGTGGCTGGCATGTTGATGTTCCCCATCAGTGTTGGTGGTTCCTCCAGA